TCCCATGATTGTTCTCTCCAAGGAGTGTATCTACCTCAGGTAAATGTTCAACTCCTATGCCTGTCTTTTGTTTGGCTGGAAGCATGGGTTCAATTCCAGACCTGAAGGGCAGCTAGGAGCCATAGTCTCAGTTGTTCCATCAGGCTCTATCAGACCAGACAACCTGGTCTTTTTTTTTTCCAAATGATTTGGAGTTTTGTTCCACATTGTTCTCCCTCTCTATCCAGGATCTCATACATAGATCTCCCTCCAAGTGGTTGACAGTGATAGCCAGGTAGCATCTAGTTCTTCTGGTCTCATAGTCATATAGGCTGTGGATCATATGGTGTACCAGTCGTGAGCACTAATTGTTTCCATGAATCTTTGGTTTTCTTCATTCTTCTTTGCTCTGGATGAGGAGCGACCCATTGTTGCATCTAGATGGCCGCTTACAAGCTTTGAGGATCCCAGTCGCTACTTGCCAAAGTAGAAGGTGGAACAATGTTTTGTGTAGTATGTTGTGCCAATTGAGCTTGATGTCTCCTGCAACTATGGTCCTGAGCTCACAGGTTCAACTACTCGCTCCCTCTGGGTAGCTGGCTGTGACCAAGAAGTGACTACAACCTACAACAAATATTTTTTAGCACATTTTTTTGGACCAGCTGCTAAGTCAGGGCCTGGGGGAAAAAAAAAGGTGAAGAACAGAGAAAGACACAGTCCTGCTTCTTGGAGCTTTTAGTCCAGTCAGGGATAAATTGGAGCTGTCAAGGCCAGTGGACATTTGAGGCTTCTGGTCGGGTCCCAGAGACCCAGTGGGCATCAGGAACCTTGCTCCCACAAGCACATAACTTCCTAGGGGGCTGCTTTGAAGGTGAGAGGCTGCTTCAGGAGCATAATTCATGTCACTAAATCATTCATTCATGCAACATTTCCCTAGGCCTTCCAGGGGCTGGGCACACTGAGAGTGAAAGGGTCCAAAGATGAAAAGATATGGCCCCTATCCCTGCAATGCTCCCAGGCCAGCAAAGCACAAGGAGGGGCTTACATGGTCAGGTGGTTTCTGGTCACCCAGGCTGAGCAAATGGAGATGGGCTGAGGGCTGGGGGGCTGAGTCAGGGCCGAGTCGGGGCCAGCTCTGGGCAGAGGGTACAGTCTTCACAGTGCATACCCATGTGGGTCAGGAATGGTCATTTTCCTCCTTTCCCCTTGAGGACACTGTTGCAGGGTGCTGAGGGGACAAGCCTGGAACCCAGCACTGTGTGAGTCCACCACCCCCAGTTCCTGCTTTCACTCTGGGAAAGAGTGACACCCCACCCCTGCTGTCATAGGGACCCTGTTGTAAAGGCCATCAAGGACGGTGATGCGGAGGCCCTGAAGGCCATGATCAAGGAGGGGAAGAACCTGGCCGAGCCCAACAAGGAGGGCTGGCTGCCACTGCATGATGCTGCCTACTATGGCCAGCTGGGCTGCCTGAAGGTTCTGCTTCAAGGTGAGGATGGCATGGCTGGGGCCACCTAAGGTGGGGCTGGGACATAGTGGGGAGGGCCCCTTCTGGCAGGAGCTCCATGAGGAGGGCAAGGCAAAGCTGTAGAGCCTGTTTGGCAGCTAAGGTCACTGTGATGGGAGAGAGGAAGTGACTTGTCCCCCCACCCCTCCAGCACCCCCTGCTACCCCTACTCTAGGCTTCTTAGGACAGGAATCCCCAGTTCCTAGAACAGGAGTGAGGGAGGCTGGCTGTTGAATAGCCCTGCAGCTTGTTCCAGAATGAAGATTCCAGAGCTGACTTGGTGTGGAAAACATGCAGCTGTGCCTGTGCCTGGCCAAGGCCGTGCCACCTCTGGGGTACCATGGGGAGTCCCACCTCCTCCTGAGCCCTGGCTCCTTCCTGAGCAACACCTATAGACAGGGCCCCCAGCTTCTTGGGTGAACTCAAAAGACACATCTCTGCCCTTGAGGAGGCCTTTCATGGAGCAAATGATTAAGTACTCGACTATTAACCATAAAGGTTGCAGGGCCAAGTTGACCCAGAGGTGCCTTGGAAGAAAGGGCTGGTGATGTACTTCTGAAAACTCAGCCCCTGAGACCCTGATGGAGCATGGTTCTGCCCCGAGACACGTGGGGTTGTCGTGACTTGGAGTCAACTCAACAGGAACTGTTTTCTTTCCCTCTGCCTTCAAGTAGCACAAGAAGGTGCTCTGGTGGTGCTGTGGTTAAAGCATTGGGCTCCTAGCCCAAAGGTCAGCAGTTCCAACCCACTAGCTGCTCCATGGGAGAAAGACAAGGCACTCTGCTTCCATAAAAGATTGATAGCCTTGAAAACCCTGTGGGGCAGTTCCACTCTACAGGGTCACTATGAGTCGGAATTGACTTGATGGCAGTCGCTGTGGTTTTTGGTCCAAGCAGCACAGACTCCAAACAGCCCACCAGGCTCTAGGGCAGAAACAGCTGCCTGAAACTTCCCACTTTCCAGCAGTGGCTAGTGGGAGAGCAAAGGAAGGCAAGGGTTATTCTGGGAGAGAGGGGGCCAGCGAGGGAGGCTTCCTGGAGGAGGTGGCATCTGAGTGGACTTCTATGACTGGACAGCAGAAACACCCTGTGAAATTGACAGGGTTCAGGACCTAAAGGAGGAGGCAGGCTGGGGTTGGGTTAATGTCAGAGGGTGTTGTACATTTCTGTCCTTGGATCTGGGAAGAAATCGGGACTGTCTCATGTTTGGGGAGAATGGATGTCTTCTGGTGAACTCCTGTCTGTGGTTCTCCCAGCATATCCCACAACCATGGACCAGCGAACCCTGCAGGAGGAAACGGCCCTCTACCTGGCAACATGCAGGGGACACCTGGACTGCCTCCTGTCGCTGCTGCAGGCTGGGGCGGAGCCCGACATCTCCAACAAGTCCCGAGAGACACCGCTTTATAAAGGTGAGTCCTCAGGTGGGCTCCCCTGAGGAAGAGTCCAGACACAGTGGGCATTGGGGTCTTGCTCCCACAAGCACATAACTTCCTAGGGGGCTGCTTTGAAGGTGAGAGGCTGCTCCAGATGCATAATTCATGTCACTGAATCATTCATTCATGCAATACTTCCTGAGGCCTTCTGGGGCCAAACACATTAAGGGTGAAAGGGTCCAAAGATAGAAAGATATGGCCCCTGTCCCTGCAATGCTCTGAGGCCAGCAGAGCACAGACACACGGACAATGTGGCAGTGAGCTAATGGCAACGTGCTTGGCTGAGATGGCGGGGGAGGTGTAGAGGGAGGCACCCAAGGAGGTGGTGTCTGAGCTGAGCCTGGGCAGGAGGCATATACCAGCTGGACAAGCAGAGGGAACAGCCTACAGAAAGGCAAGGAGGTATGGGAGAGCGTTTGTACCTCTGGGTGGGATGTTTGTTTAAGAACAAATGTAGTGGGGACTTCTGGCAAGATGGTGGAATAGGCAGACAAGCTACACAGACCCTCTGCAGCAGAGCAATGAGAAACCAATTAAAACCAATGCAGAAGATGCTCCTGGAACCCTGAACATTGAAGGTAAGGATAAAGAAGTGGATTAAATACCAACTAGTACAAGAATCTGAATGAAAACAGTGAGTAAGGAGACAAACGGAGCTGCGGACTGCTGGCTGTCCAGGGGGCACAGCCATTTTGAATATTTACCAATAGCAACCTAAGAATCATCTCTGCTCACCAAGGTTGCAATGAGCAAGGACTGCATTGGTGCCTGATGACCAGAAAGGAGAAGAGTGAGGAAGGGGATGGGTGGACCTGTGGACTGCTGGAGGCTGTCCTGACAGTGCAGCCATTTTGGGTGTTTCCAAGAGGCCAGCGCTGCCATTTTGAGTGTATGCAAGTGACATTCTTGCTTGAACTGCGATCTAAGAGTGCTGTTCACCTGCCAAGGACAGCACAGGCAACCCCACTGGAGACTGAAGACTGGAGAGGTGCAATATTCCCCTTCTTACTCTTGTGCCCCATGCCCTCTTGGTGAACAGGGGTGTGGCCTT